AACTCACCTGGGCGATTCGATTGTCTTCTGGACCTCTCCTGACCTCGATCTGCTGAGACCTTGAGGAACAACCCTTGACCTTGACTGGATATCCAAGGATTAGTACTCACCTCTCTCTCTCTCCTCGTTCTTCCTCTTGGGGAGAAACATCAAACGAGTGATTGTTTTCTTTGGATGGTCCATACTCTCCATCCAACCACGGACACTCACAAATCATTCAACCATCTAAAACCGTTCGCACCAAGAAAAAGACACTGGAGCTGTGGCCTGGCCACGCATCTGATCCAAGTCACAAGTACCAGCTCTGCACCAGCCTTGAAATGATGTCCAAAGGTCTCTTCCAGCCTCGGATCCCGAGCGCCACCCGTGCTCGCGCGCGACCCGTGCAGCACTTCGCTCGCCGCCGCGGACGGCACGGTTCAAGAGCTCGGAACGCCTCTCCACCTGCTCCGATTGGATGATCGGTCCCCTTCGAACCAGACCGCTGGTGCTTGCCTGGCTGTCTCCGCTGGCTGGTGCTCTATGTGTGTTCAACCCTGTAGCTGTTGCAATGGCGAAAAAAGACGTGCTGTAACAAGGACTGCAGGTGCCAGGTCTGTCAGGTCTGTCAGGTCTATTTCCGACCAGCCGAGGGATGAAAAGGGACCTCTTTTTGCAAGACGAACTCGCACCTCCGACTCCGCGCAATGAAACAGGTTGAAACAGGTTCTTCAATTGTAAAACAAGGAAATGCATCAGTCACCAGTCAAAACCGTTCCCCATTCATCAGTTCAACAAATACTATTCACCAGTCAACGACCGACTCTTGTAGGCAACCAAATGGCTCGGACTCTTGTAGTGCGAGGAGTGGATGGCCATCGATGGCAATGATGATGTCACCAGCTTCAAAGTCTTGGCCTTAGGAATGGCATGGCTGAGTGGCTGAATGCAATAAAGGTGAGGTGATGTTCTGTGGATTTGACTAGGTTCCAAAAAACAATCAAACAACGTGGGTGTTTGATACATGTTTTGATGAGGTAAGGTAGGTAAAGTTTGTTCTTGTGTTGTTTTCCTCCACTGTAATCCCGAAGCTTGCCCGTGCCAATCCTGGATGATTGAAACTCACGAAGCTGAAGGTCGGTGGCTCAGGTGTCTTCCCCTCAGGCTCTGGTTAGTTTGGATAGAGCCAGTGATGTTGGAACGGGTTCAAAGAAAAGTAACTCTCATGCAAAGCCAAAAATGCTTGAACACATCCAAGAGTCCAGGTTGAGCATCAATGGACTCCACCTGGGAACAAACGGCCAGTGTGACACCCAGCACAAGTGGGCCAGGTGTTACCCATGTTCTTTGCAAACGTAGGACGTCCTCTTACCCCAGCATAGACGACATACTTCAGCCGAATCTAGTTCATGCTAGTTCACTGGCTTCATCTCCAAGTTACATCATACGTGTCTTTTGCAGTCTTGTTCGCTGTTGGATACATGTCGAGTCAGAATTCAATAACTTAGACGGTGGTCACTGAACATTGCTGAACATCCATGGCATGTCATCCATGTCTTCGGTCAGCTCCGTGACCAAACCCAGCAATTGAAACCTATCTCCTTTGTAGGTTCATCAGAACCAACTAGAGAAAACATGGAAAACCACCAGGTACAGAAGCTCTGGTTTCTGGGCCTCTGCTTTCGGCCGCCCTACTGGCTGTCGCGACTGAAGACAAACACCAACACCCCAACTGGTCAAGGGGAAGCAGTCTTCCCTCACCCCATGCTGATTCGCAATGTGCCCGGAAAAGAGCGAGAGAGAGAGAGAAAGCTCTCCGGAAGCCAAGACTTGGCCATCTTCCTCCAAACATGTCATGGGCTCGTGGTACTTGGCTCATTGACATAAGTGACATTGACGGCGATTCAGAAGTCCAAACACGGGTTGAGTACAGTACGTAGTTAGCAGGTGCTCTGCAATCCAATATTTAATATTGTGAGTTAATATGATTTAAATTGATTTAAATTGATTGAATCCAACGATAGAAACAAAGCACACATCGGTAGTGTTCATGCCTTGCATGAGCCAGTGTCCACAGTTATTGATATTGGACAATCTTGAGACATACAAGTACAAGTACTGGGTAATCCCATCGGATCTCTACACTAAAATGCCGGTCATACCATACCTGTCACTCTGTTCTTTTCAGCTCAAAGGGTCACTTTCACTTCCCGTTTCTTGCACCACCCCAAGTCACTTAGAAAACTCTGCGCAGCTCCACGAGCACGCTGTTGTCCGCGCCTGGTAGCCGAATTCGGTGATTTCCAAGTCTAGGCCAGCTGTTCCCTCATCCACCTCGATGCGCCGAAGAATCATTCAGAATGATGTGCAGTTGCACCCGGTAAACCCGGAAAACAGCAGTCGAAAAATGTCGAACATTGTCGAACAAATGCAACGAGCTCGATCCAGATCGAACATGTCGATGACCGTGGTGATCATTTTGTTCGCAAAAAACGACATTGACTGATGTCAATATTTCTTTGCTGATCCTTTGGGCTTTCCAATGGCAAAAAGCTACGATATCTATTTTTGTGTTTTTCAAGAAGAGTTGAGTAGGAGACTCGGCTTCCCAGCAACGACCTGTTTTCCTTTGGGATCTGAGCCAATCTACTGCAAAAACCGAACCTGTGTATTTGTACGACGAAGAAACACATAGCTTATATAATATTATAGAACCATGCAGGCAAATTCCTCATTTGGGTCTTGACTTTGTGTAGTACGCAAGCAATGTGAAGAGAATCTTCGCACTGCAGGACGAAAGAAGAGTGCTCTTCCTTCCAATGTGAAACGCATAAAGGCATAAGGATGCATAAATCACCTGTTAAAGTGACATGGCAATGGGTCAAAACTGGGGGCCCCTGGTTGACCACTGAAAATGAACAGAATCAACTGCTGAGGAGGTCAGCCCAGGAGGGTTTAGGGCTCTAGCTTCTGGCCCACTGCCACATCTGTTGTGACCCTGATACACCCAGACTGAAACCGCTCGTTCGCTGAAATCGAGTCGTTCAAAGGCACCTTCAAAGAACATCTCTTCAGGCTGGACCAGGTTTCGGTCTCGGGAAACAGCGCCGACAAAAATGCTGGAGTCGACTCCATGTTCGGAGGCGGAGGCCAATGTCGGCGGAGGGTGCGGAGAGGTACTCGGTGCGATTTCGGTACTGGGAACGATCAACAGGGAAAGAGGGAAGTGCAAGTTGTTCATCTTTGAGATTGTTTGGGTCAGCCTGGGGTGGGACAACAGCACAGAAACCACATCTGGCTAACTTTGCTGTGAAGTGCGCAAGTGCGAGCGCGTCAACATGCTGGGTGAAACTTGCAGGGTAGTCACAGCTGGTTCCACGTCCTCTGGTACTGGTCCAAACAATTTGACACAATCATTAAATGCAAAGGTCAGGTGAAATGCTCGAGGACATTGTTTGCCGCAACAACCCTAGCCCCAATATATGAAGATTTAAGCCACAAACCTCATCAGGCAGCTCTTGGTTTCTGAAAGGCATTGGCTTGGACCAAACATCAAACATCCAATCATCCCATTACATAAACAGTTGATGTCTCTTCCTACGCGGATGTTTTTCTTCTCCAAACATCGGGCTTGAGCCGCAGGATGCAAACAGGCGAACGAGCCAACGACCGGATGCGAGCAGGATGCGCTAGCCGCTGGCGACCCAGGGCATTTGTTTCCACACATTGACATTGAAGGTAGCTGGAACTTCTGGTAGTACCAAATTCTGGCCCCTTAGCCTAGAGTCAAAAATTCCAGCCCCTCCCAAGAAAAAACGACCCTGGCAACAATTAGAATCTGTGGGTTTGTACGGGTTTAGGTGCTCATGCCCCTTCAAGGGAGAAAAATGTCTTATGTGCATCTTGGGGATGTGATTCCAAATATGTGTGCTTTGCCCGCCTTCTTGCTGTTCTTTAGCAGGTCTGAAATGTTAATCCGAGGCAATTCCAATGCATTGTTTGGAGTTTTGACACCCAAAGCCGAGATCGGCAGTGTTATTTATATAGTTGAATGTTTCATGAACTCCATGTTAAAGAACTGTGGCACTTGTTGCAATAGTTTCATCGCGCCTCAGAGTGGGTGTTTCATTTGAGCCTATCATGTCATGCTGACACTGTTTTATTAATTGTTTTGTCAGTTGCATCATATTTCAACACTCAAAACTGGTGTCCAGCAAATTCCGCCCCTGGGCCGCCGAATTCCGCCCATCGACCGCCAAATTCCGCCCATTAGATTTGTTGGCTTTGGTGATAAGTATGGCTTATCGTGCATGATAATTAGATGTTTCCCGCACGATAGCTGTTTGTCAAGACAGATCATGCATGATAGATGAAACTACAATCAAACTCAAAATGTCGCTCTGACTCTATTATGTTCTATTCTCAAAGGAATCCCAGCAAACTTCTCCAGATCGATTGAAAGCCTTTTCAGTGACACCATTGACACCCCAAAGAATCATCAAAAGTCTGTCAAAACTGCTAAACAAGTGGTACAGAAACTTCATGGGGTTGAAAGATTTTGATCACGCCAACACCCCGCATAGACTGACCTTGTTGCAGTGGTGGGTTGGTGCCGAGATCAATAAGCCCCTTGTATCTGACAAAACAGATCAAATCCATCTCGATCCACTGGTATAACAGAAAAAGCCCCTCTGGTGAAAAGTCTACTTTTGTGATGGGGACTGAAAAAGGACACCCTTGGAAGATGCAGGATATTTAACTTGTCAGGTGGCAAGGGTTTAGTATTGTATTGATCAATTGACTATGCCAACCTCAGTATACGTATGATCTGCATGGTTGCAGCTTTCGCAGAACTCTAAAATGCTCACGGTCGGCCTAGCAGCCTTGTTCATCCTGCTTAGCACTCTGACACTCCAAAAGCACTCGGGTGAACATGTCGATGATCCCACATCTTCATTTGGTTCAAGGTCGATCCGCCCGTGTCACCATCGCAGGGGGGGCAGGGAGACGGCGCAGGGTACCCTCGGTGCTTGCCGAAGGTCAAGAGCGATGCCCCATTCTCTCGCTCCTGGTGGAGAGCTTGAGATTTGGAGAAGCATTAAGTGGGAATACGGCTCTGGAACATCGTGAGATTTGGAAACCTACCAGAGCCCCCGATTTTGATTGTTTATTAATAGCCCCAAAAAGAGGTTACGGGGTGCTTATTAACCACCCCTTACATATGCGCATAGGGATTGTGAAGGTTTGGCGGCACGTTGAGCTTCCAAAAAGACTCCGGCTGGACGACATCTTTGGTGTTCATTTGGGAGCCTAGAGATGTATATGCCGCTGTACAAACGTGGTGCAAACATATTGTTGTCATCCAATATATGTGTGGCTTAAAGCTTAAGAGACACTTCTTTTGCTGCTCAATTCTTGAGCTACAAAGGTTGATTTCTTCGCATGGGCAGCCCTCTAGACTCTATAGACTCCACCTCAAAAAAATGCGATCGAAGCTGCTAAGTCTCTTGTAGGCCTGCTTGGGGTGACCAAATCTGCCATGACGATCTCACCCATCCCAGAGAGGTCTGTGTTGTGTCCCTCACGCTCGGCTTCTCACATGACCCAAGTGTCTCACATGCTCATGTTTGGTTGACCCAAGTAAGTCGAAGCCCAACGTCCCGTCCCAGCGGATCACTTTCACGTCGTATGAGTACTTTGATAGGGAGACTTGGTCTATTTGTTCGCTACACATCCAGATGGTGCTTCAGATAAACATGTTCCTTATAGTCTATAGTCACTCACTGGGTGCGACTCCGAGCCTGGAATCGAGAGATTTCTGGACCAGCCTGGTCAAATGCCGAGCCTGGTCTTCTGGACATCTGGTCCGTTCCCGCTGGGACTCGGCCAGTTCCGGTTCGAGTGGCCTCCTCGGCCGGAACCTGCAATGGCTGGCTTGATGCGGCCTGCGACGCAGGTCACGAGTTCGGACGGAAAAGACCTCAACGGTTCATCAATTGCTAAATTGGTGCTATACTGCTATAGACACACACACACTCTCTCTCTCTCTTTAACAACCATCATAGTGGGATGGTAAAAGGCCGCATGGGACTCATTTTGAAGGGTCTCTCGGTCTCTCCTCAAAATCGTCCAGATCCATCTGATCTGCATTTAGCTTGGCCGCAGGAGTACAACAATGCCCAGTGAGTACAACAAAAGAACATCATCCCTGAGAATGTGCTGCCTTCACAATATGATTGGCTTCAAACTTGAGCCCAAGTGATTTGACTGAAAAGTGCTTTTGGCACATGTAGCAGAACTCTCCACGCCGTGTTTCGCAGCTTTGGTGGAACCCACTTCTGGTCGTGCCAAGGGACGCCAGGAAGCAAAAGGCTTCCGGCATGGGTGGAGTTTGCGGTGGAGCGAGTCTCAGAAGTAATAACATTTGTTTGTCGATGTCATCGGGGGAGTTGGAGGACAAAGGAGAAGGAAAACCCTGGTTTGAGCTTTGAGCATTTGAGGTACGACTCTAACCAAAGGTAACCACATCATTTATTTTCCTGCACTGTTGGAGCAAAGCAGAATTACCTTCCGTACCTTCAGTAAGCTACGAATGCACAAAAACACGGCCGATGTTTCCTTCAACGAGCCCACTCGCCTGTCCGTTGATCATGGTGGGCACAGATTGCGGAGCACCTTAGTCGTTCTGGATCCTGTGGTCCAGGTGTGTTTTGACATACTTTGACCCTTTGAGCCTCTGGTATAGCAGCATAGCACAACAACCCTTGAAGTAAGAAATTCAGCAAATGCACACTCCCCGGAACTAACATGGAAGTCGATGGCATGGCCCCTTGGAAGACCATGTTCCTCTACAAGAAGGGGTTTTCCACTTCCATAAAGTTAGTTCAAGGGAGAGTATGGAGAGTATTCTTTTCATGTCTTGAGAGTTTGGGGTTTTGATTGTGGTGCAAACAGCTCTCAAACCAGTTCAGCTAGCAGCTAGATGCTCTCCAGAGATGGACCAATTGCTTGTCTCAGATTGATACACTCCCTGAAAAAATCATGGAAGTGGACGGCCACCTGGGTTGTAAAGCAAAATGGCCATCCAACGGGCCATTTGTTCACTTGCATGAGTGTTTCAAGGAGTATACTTCCCCGTGCGTTTGCAGGGGTCTACCCATTGTGCAAACCCACAGTTTGTCATAATTCTAGAGGCCGTTCATCTCTCAGTGTCTCTGTCCCTCAAGGTAAACAGTTCAGCCGCACCAACCAAACAATGTTTGGTGAGCAAATGCCCACATATATCAATGAGGAAGAAGATGTGGCCTGGATTGGTACGACAACTGTGCTCTGCACATTCCCCTGCAACACCTGTCAACTCCAGCGTCTTAACTCCTCCGAAAACTCCGCCGATCTGCGAAGTCCAGCGCGCCACACGTTCCGCAGTTTTCACCCACGAAAGACAGCAGGCAAGTGTCAGGACATCCCTTCCTACCGCACAGGAACAGCGCTGTTCAGCGGCGTCGGCGGTGGGTGCCAGCATGGGTGGCCTGCGCTGGCAACCGAAGGCCAATTTGGAGGCAAAAAAAGCAAAGAGGGATGATGAATGATGAGCCTATGATGTTTTCTTGCTGGTACGCAAAGGAACATTATGCCAAACACACATCTACTGTTGCTGGTCTATGCTGGTCTCTCTTTGGGGGGCAAGAGGTGCTTGTGGCCTTTGGTCAAGTCATCCACAACACCATCCCAGCTATAAATTTTTGGTGAAACCTCAGTCAGCCAGTGCAAGGTCCCTCCGCCGATAGTTTGTCTGGAACCATTCCATCTCATTCATTGCTTCCTGCGAAGATGAGCATGGAACGCAGTCCTGGACAACAATTCACCTTTACCCTTTCACACCAGGTTGTCTTCCGTTCCTGTTGCTCTGAAGGAGGGTACCAAACCCATAGCTGGAACCAGTGCCCAGCCAGCCTGCTGTCTGCAGGATACGCCGATCGTCTGCAAGTCCTACAAAGGGTCGAGATCTGTGTGGGAGCACTCCGTCTGTGTGGCAAATGAGAGTGAGTTATCAACATGGTTTGAACTGGGTGCGTGCTAAGGAAACCACACAAGCGGTGTAGAGCCAAAGCCCTTGTACAACCACAACTGCACGACGAGCGGATCTTTGCAGACAAAAAACAACGATCCTCTCTGCCAACAATGCCTTCTCCCTGCAGAACAAATGGCCTCAATGGCCTCCTGCCGACCGCCCCACGAGCCTGTCGTCCACGGCGTCGCGATGCCGGTGGGTCCTTCGTCAGCGCCTCCCTCTGCTCGAAGCTCAATGCGCTGAACAGATCCTCCAAGCAGGCGGGTTCCACCTGCACGGTGCTCGCGCTTTTTCGGCACGCGCGGCGCGGCGGTTGGGTGGGGAAAGGGTGGCTGCCGGAGCTGGGTGATCTGAGGAGAACATGGGGGGGGAAGCCACGGAACATAAGGGAACATGGGTAACATTATGGAACATGGGGAGATTCGCTGCGATTTCGTTTAACTTGAGGAGTGGGGCAGCAAGCCGTCTGTTCCATCTGTTCCATTAGACAAAGAGCTTGATGGCTCCAGCAGAATGGTTCATCTGTGGCGGACGAAGAACCACCAAGTCCACTGGCTGCATCTGTAATTTCCACACAAACACTCTGCCTGACAAAATAGCACACTGAAAGTACGATCCAAGTAGGATTTGAGATCATGTACTTCATCCGGGCTGGTTCTATTTATGTGGCTATGGCCCTATATTGGCCTTTGGACACAAAACTAAGGAACCATCCAAAGCTATCAGTGTACAAGAGAATTTTGATTAAAACACCATATACAGTACATTTAGATACATTTAGGGCTTTCACCAGGGTCTTACCATTTGCGAGCCACAACTCCTGTACCCGTGACCTTCCCGGGTGACCTGGTCCGAGCTGGTGGGCACGAAACCATTCCCTCCCACGTCGAACGAAGGCGCCCCGTGGCGCGGACCCCTGGAGCAGGTCCAGTGGTCTGGCAGAGGTCATGGCCAGGCCTGGGAGGCGCGAAGCACTCAACAGCCCAGACAGCGGTTCAGGGCGAAGAAAAGCACTCGGAGCGGACCACTCAGGTTGAAAAATGCAAGGACTAAGGAGGGCTCCAGGTGTCTTGATGCTGTCTTGAGGGGTTGGGTAGGTCCAAGGATCTACATCATCCACAAAACGAAAGAAAAGCAAGTTGGTTGAAAGGTCGTTTTGCCTGCGCTCCATGTTTTTTTAAATAATTCCCTTTGAACTTCGGGGTTTAAGAGGAGTTCAGTGACCCTTTAACCCCACTAAACACGAATAGGTGTCCCAATCCCCCAAAAAGGTGACCTGCAGGTTCTCCACTTTTCCCGGGAAGGGCGGGCCGCCCCTAAAGATTTATAGAGCTTCTTCCTTTCCATCTTCATCCATCAAGCACCTCCTGCAGAACTCCAACACGACAAACACCTCGACCATCACACCTCTGTGGCCGGTCATGGCCAAGGAGCAGGTGATAAGCGCAACGGACCACAGAGACTGCCTTCTCCAGCAGTCCGGCCTGCAAACAGCCCCGTAGCATGACCTGATGCGTTGTGCCGTCCGACGGGGCGTGGGGCGGAAATCTGAGACCACCAGTCGATTGGAGTGGAGAAAGATTTGACGTCCATCAGGCATTGTCGAGTTTGAATTGGAACATGTTGGAACATGTAAAGATTGCTTCATACAGTACTTCCTAGATTGAGAAAGCCTCAAATGAAAATTGTGGAGGAATAAAAGCCATTGCATTCGCAGTGATTGTTTTAGTAAGTGTTTTAGTATGTCTCCTGCTCTCCAACAAAGCTCGGAAAGTTATAGCTGAGCATGAAGAAAACCTGTGTTCAAGCCACATCTATTGTGGCAAACGCAGTGTAGTTGTCCAAACACAACTAATTGAAAACTTGAGTTGGCCCACATGGTCAGTGTAAACAATGACAATGACTTAAAACAACATGGGACCTGCGGAATTGAATCCGACATAATCTGACACAACCAAATGAAACCGTCTCCATCGTAAGCTCATTTAGGATCTTTCGATTACCCCTCCTTTTCAAGAGTCTCCATCATCATCTTTGGAGTTACACCAGCTACTCAAAACTCTTGACACCAGCGAACGCTCGTGTTCTTCCTCCGGTTTCGTGTGGGTCGCTGAAAAGGGACTGACCTGGCCCTCGAGGATCAACTGGCTCGAACGGAAACATGCCCGCTGTGTGTGGGAACATTCCAGTCATCATCTTTCAACAGGTAATGCTCGAATCGGTTCGTATACGCAGCTCCATTGGGACTCATGCAGAGGAAAGGCGCAGGCGGTCTCACGTTCCTTCGGTGTGTTCACGGTTAAAAGCTGTGTTGACTAAACCCTGCAGCTGTCAGGGGTCTCAACTCTTCCAGCCACATCCACCTCCTGCTGCTTGTGTGTCTCTTGTTTCCTGCATGTGCCGGGTGCGAATTGGGTGGCGCCCCAAAACGTGAAAAACCCTCTGTTGGTCCCCTCTGTCTGCTAAGCGACCGTGTACGTCTTGGCATCAGGCTTGCAGGTGCCATCCTTGACCACCTAGCGGCTTAGCGCTAGCGCTCACATAGATCATTAGAAACCCCACCAGTTAGCAGGAAAACCTAGACAAACGCTGACCATGGGACATGTATGGGTCGTACTATTTGAGAATTTAGTACTTCTTCACACTGCCATGCATTCTGGATCAGCCATAATGACTTAAACACTGGCATTGTCTGGCGTCTGCAAGGCAAACACTTCTGCTAACTACGGTTGCCAAAAAATACAACCACTGGAGCGCACGTCGTCTACTGGACTTGGCAAAACAAACAAAACTGCGACTTAGCAGTTTCCTGATATTGCCCTGGTCGTGCCTGGTCGTGCAAAGCCAAGACCCTGGAGCACTGGCGGTTGTGGATACAGGCTTGCATCAAGCAAGTGTAGACCTGGTCGCCGCTCAGCATACGGGCCCTTCAAAACTCCAACTGCTTGAAGACTGGGAGCTGAGGGCCCCTTACTGTTGAGGCGCGCGGCGGGACCCATCGACCTTGAAAATCAGGAATCGCCAGGAAATCCCCGAGATTTTCATGGGGACTTGGGAATTTTCATCCTTTTGCTTTGGTCCCTCAAGGATCACACGTATGTCCTGGACCCGTCATGATGAGATCGTCCTGACTGTCAGGTTTCGAGGAAACATGTTCCAAGTTTGGTGCTAAATGTTCCGAAACAAAGTAATAACTTGTGCAACATCACGTCCTTTTTTCAGAACCCCAAACGCAACCCAGACACCACGTTGGAACCACATTGGACCTTCTGGGTTCCACAGCAAATGAGAAATTGACCATGTCTTCTTCGTTGAGGCACTTTCTATTCAGAAAAAGGAGCGCGTCTTGTCTTGACTATCGGTGCGTGTTTGACTATTTTCCATCAGCAACTTGTTGCCACTGTCAGTACTGTCCCTTCACAACTTGCCCTCTCTTTCTGCTGTTAAGCCAACACATCTCTCGAGATTCACCATCGCAGCCATCGCAGGCGCGCCATCCGAAGCTTTGAGCTCCCCAAAGGTGGACCGTCATGATAGATCTCTGGTGGGACTCGCCTAACATGAATATATTGCTCTTGCATGCTCTTGTTTGTGAGTATCTCAGGATCTAGGTCACACACGGAAAACCCACAGCACCAAGAAGGAACAGCGGCACTGAGGTGCCTGGATGTTAGCTTTGAAGCCATACTGCTCGGTGAAGGTGGCAACCTCAATCAGCCAAATGATTCACAAAATCAATGGCTGAACAAAGCTGTCCAGCTTAGTTCATCATCCAACAATTAGTTTAGTTCAACAGTTAAACACATGTATAACATCAAGTTGTTGGGACGCTGCGCAGGAAACATGGCTGTCATCCCTGGATCATTTCCAGTGTGGTGAGTGTCCAAATGCTGTAACGTTTGGTCTACGGTCTTACAATTACAATCCGTGATTTTGTTCAATTTGCTTCACTGCACCTGCAAGAAACCCCCCACCCGCAGTGGTAGAAGTTGGATTTGGTCCCCGCCCCAGCCGCTCCCTGTAAAATCCAACCACCCATCTTCCAACGATCTGTGTGCCTCGGAATCACCAGCAGCCCTGGCTCACCCGTCCGCTTCGCTTCGCCCTTCGGCTCACCCGGTTAAAAACCGCCCCGAAACTGCTTAACGGAGTAGTGGATCTCCACCGCCCGGAAAAGCCACCGACTTCGGATCGCAACCCACCGGTGGAGACGGTTCTGCCATGAGACCATCTTGAAGGCTTGCTCCAAGCGCCTGGAGAGGAGCTGAAAAACGGGACCGGAGAAGACCGGAGAAGCTCGGTTGGAAGGTGGAAAATGGGTCCCAAAAACGAGGAGGCCAAAAAGGAAAGGCTAGGGAACTGAACATGAGCTCAAAGGGAACTGGAAACTGGGATATGAGGTGGAAGAACACACAGGATTCGCTTCGAAGGTACGGGAACCAGTCTATAGATTTCAATACGTGTGCCTCGTAATGAAGATGTTTGTCTGCGAGTCTATCCTGGCATGATGTTTGGACAGCAGTGACTTTATGTGATTTTATGCATCTAGATGGTGTTGCACAGCTGGAAGTGTTGTCACAGAATGGACTTTCTTGCCTGCTAGGTTCAGTGAAGTTACGGCTCGACTGGCTGGAGTTGTGCCCGGGAGTAGAGTTTCTTAGGAAGACACACCTGCAAAGCAAGGTGACACATGAGAAAATCATTGCTTTCTCAAAAGTAACTTCTCTGGGTTGACACCTGTTAGGAATAAAAGTCCGTGCGTGGATATCAGCGTGGTCTTCTGCTCTTGGCAAACTTTGAGCACCGGCCAGTCTACGTGTTTTCAAAGATTCAGGGAGAAGTTGCTGCGAACCACTTAAGCAACAGTTTTTGTCTGTAACTAGTGGTAGTACTAGTGGTCTTTATGGTACGAAATAAGCCAGTCACGTGCTGGCATGCAAGCCTGAGGATCCAAACAATCCTTAACTACATGGAGTCAGTCCCCCACAGAAAAGCAGCCACACTGACTCAATCTCGGACATGAGAAGAGGTGCCACTTCAAGAAGTCAAACATGGTCAACCCAGATCCATCTTCACGTCCAGTGATCTGTCAGTTGTTGCATGCGCTCACCCCTCAGCCCTCAGCAGATCTCAGTGAATTCCTGAATGATCCACCAAACGTGCGCCCGGCTTCAACGTCTTCGAGCCTTCCGCGACCCAAGAGCTTGCACAAGATGCTCAAGGTATAATTGCTTGGCGTCACCTTGGACGTACGAGGCGCGGGCTTCAGAGCCCTCGGTTCGTTCATTCAATGAATGATCAAACATGAATCAACAGAAATGAACACATCATCCTGGATCAACATCTTAACCGCCATTGGGTATGGTACTTGCTGGTGCTTCTGAAAAAAACAAAAAAAACATTGATATATAGCTTTGCTGGGATTTATCTTGCCAAGATGCTAGACCAAGCAAAGGGCCCTAAAGGCACTACACATCACCAAACTAGACATTACGACAGAGTGGTGAATTTGATCTGTCCGTATATGTCCCAAAGATTTTCTCTTCCCTACCTCACAAACCAGCAACTGAGCACTCACAGGACAAACAAAAGAAAAGTGGCTGTATTCGCGCTACATTGACTGCACATTAGATGGCAGCTAGATTACTGTAGCGCAGCTTACCACCCCCTACACCATCGGGGTGTGTCCTTCCTAGGTCCTGGAGTTTTTGTTTTGCTCAAATGCTGTTAAGAGGAACGCTGTTAGGAGTAGCGCGTGGAGAGTTTCCGCAAGTCATGTTAGAACCTCTTGCGATGACGTTGCGACACCCCGGCGCTCCTTCACTGCGACTGAGGGACGCCTTGCTCCTTCATCTCCTCTAAAAGCTTCAAGGCCTACACAGCTCAGTTCACAGCTAGCCACTGGAAAAAAGAACACTTGCAACAAAACAAGAGAAACCTCATAGGAAGAAGTTGTCTCAGTGGAAGTATTCACACTCATCTGCATGATATGAATATTTTCAACTGCAGCTTCGGGCCTCCTCCACCCGTGATTGCTTGGCACAGCCATCCTGGGGAAGCTGCGCTAGACACGGCACTCATCCCCCTGCTCGCAGCAAGACTCGGATCTACCATTGACAAGTTTGCAACCCATTAAGGGTTGAAGGACCTCTGGACCTGTGGGATACACCGCTGCATCATGTCTTGTTGCCATGTGGCATTGCTGATCACAACATCTGTCATTGACACTACAAGCCTCTATATACTGAATCTGGTTTCCAGAATGGGCATATACCATACTAGACATGAGACATGGCACTTCTCATCCCAATTGGTATGGACATGAACCGAGAAAAACGCACTTTACTCACTATATATAAGGATATTTGTTTCAATAGCGAAGACATTGATGCCACCCTTCGGATGGACCCCAAATCCGAGGTCTATCGATCCGACCAAAAGGGGGCAGGTAATAACCACAGCCAAATTGCAGCCCTTTGTCGCATGGTGACTCATGAGTGTCCTTTCACTTGTACAATGTACAGCGTAGCAATCTATAGCAATTGGTCATTGACTCGTTTGGAGTTTACGATATTCTGCTCAAACAGGCAGCGCGGTTGCACATTGCAAGTAATCAAGTGACTAGAACACCTGTTTAGTGTACATATGTGCACATGATGTCATTGTGTAACATGAATATGTTTTGCCAAAACATGCTCCCCATGTACAACACATTTGACAGTACTCTGCCCTTGATGAGGAGTTGTATGCCAGTGCTCTCCACCTGTGTAGAATCTGGTGGGGCAATAAGGTTGTGCACAGACACACGCATAAGAAGTGCATGATGATGGTCAACATCCTTGCTCAGAACATGTAATCCCATCGCTACTGCTGGGCCAGCCCGGCCAAAAGGCTGTTGTAGAGCACCTGCGCAATGCCAGAAGGAGTGGCAAGAGCCATTGATGGCGAGAACCTCACCCATCTAACTTCGCAAACACTACATCTATGCAATGAATCCAAAACAATGAACAGTCAGGCATGTCTTCGTATGAATCTTACATGATCTGTCCAAGTGCTCTGTAGTCTCTTGCCTCAACTTGTTCACTTCCTTGTGCAATACAAGACGATCGGCCACCCCCCGTTAACAACACAAACACAGACACACCATTTCTGAGAATGGAGAAAAGTTCAGTCCATGTCTGGAGCCAGGCAGTCTGACAGTTTGACGAGTCCAAGACTTAGAGAATCTAAGAGTCTAAGAGGTGAGACATGAGACATGAGATCAGCGTCCCGCTTCGACTTACGGGGCCCTCTCCCAGCTTGGCCCCAAACCGTTCGATCCGCTTGGTCAGACTCATCCGAGTCTGACCAAGTTGCGCAAGTATCTGCTTTAAACGGTCAAAGCGTTCAATGAGTCAAGAACTCATGTAAAGTTCTCTGCCTCAGGTAGCTCGACTGATTTTTTACATTTGGTGAAACATTCTTGGCAGTGGGTCCATACACCCCATGTGCACAATCAAAACCAATGTGCAATCATAGCAGTCTACTAAGAAATCTGAAGCCTTATTGACCCACTGCCATGGAATTGTGATCGTCGTTCTACATTAAAAAAGAACAACTCAAGCCATGATGCCCTTCTCACTCGGTGTCCTTGGCAAAAGCTCCCAGCCGCACTGGCCCCACTGGCTGCGCCGGTTGAGCGATTGCCGCGACCATGCCCTTGGACAGCCCTGGCGGCGGCAATGTCGAGGGCTCTGCTGCAGCAACCCTGGTGGGGTTGAGGCCCGGTGGGGGAGGCAGTGCGGAGGGCGGAGCTGCAGCTCCTGCTGTCGCTGCTTCCGTGGCATCAATGGCGAATCCGAGCATCGGAGGGTGGGCGACAGGTGTTCGTGAATGTGAAGACCCCTCTGAATCGGCAAGCTCCTCTGCTTCATCGAAGGCCACCTCGATGTTCAAATGTAAGTTCTCGTAGACTCCTTTGGAGATTGCATAGAGGCTCATGCATATTGAAAAACAAAGCGTCAAGAACGCTCCTTCATCAGCCGTGTAGAAAGCACTGTAGTACTGTAACAGGAAAGACAATGGAGCCTCGAGACCTTGTTCTGCCTGCAAGATGGACAAATACTTGTCTGTCGGTGTGCCACTTCGGCTGAAGTCCCGGAAGGCCTTAACAAAAATCCCGGGCACCTTCTTTCCAAAGTTCAGAAGCGGCTGTCAGGAAGATGATCATTCCCTGGCACACAGCGAAGTCGTACTGCTCCGTGACAATGGAAAGGATCAGGCAAAGCACGTCAGATGCCACGTCGCCGCAAAACATTAAAAGGCCAGAATAAGATCGAGCACGCCCAGTCAATTTTGCATTGCGGTGTTGCATGTCCTGTTCAAGCTGTTTGGCCCTTCGACGAATTGCCTTGCGGAGTTCTCTGCATTCTTGAGTATCTGTATGGAGGCATTCACGGGAGCGTGCAGCTCTCAAACTGCTGACCAGTAGCAAGCCAAATAAGGCACAAGGTGGAAGCAGCAAGTATGCGAAAAATATCATATCGATGTGGCTCCGGGCAACATGTGGACTTCGGCACCAGATTGCCCGAACATTGCATGCGTTTCCAAATGTAATCGTACTTACCGAGTCACTATAAAGCAGCGCGTCAAAGTCTCCAAAGTTGCAAGACACCTGTAGCATCTGCGGCACTGGATTGTCCAAAGAGTGAAAGGTTGTCGCATCGAAAACCATATGTTCAGAACAACTATCGTAATTCAAGCCACAGCGATACTTTATCCCAGTTGGCGAAGACGAGTTCTGGATTGACGTGCATTGGAGTAGTCCAGCTGCTGAGTCAGTATTGCAAATGGCATACCAGCCCGAACCGATCACCTCCGCTGCAGGAGCACCTCCGCTGCAAAAACCCTCTCGATGTTCCCATTGTCGGTAGCATGTGTCTCCCAATTCCAGAGCTGCTTGTTATAGCGATCAATATACATATCATGCGGCGATCCACCAAAAAAGTGGTGAATATGCATCCCTGAGGTGGTACAGAGTTGGTTGCCTCTAAAAGCTAGAAACACAGGAAGCCAGCATAGACTTCTCAGCAAGGTGCTAGAAACGAAGAAGAATCGAGCAGATTTCTGCCTCCTCTCGAGGCCAAATGCAGAGTATGATTGGCAAAAGAAGGTGAAGTAAATAGTCCTTCGCAGATCAAACGCATTGGCGATTCTCTCCGATCCCCTCCGTGTCAAGCCAATAGTCGCCTGGCAAAGCCCTACGAGGAGGCTTTACTCTAGGTGGTGGGCTCGGTCTGAAACGAGTGATGAGTGATGAACATCAGAAAAATAGAACACACTGACTCCTACAAGTAGTGAGGGACGAAACGGAAGCAAGCCATTGAACATAGATGACATAGATTGGAAACACTGGAATCGTTCAGGATCTTTCAGATTCAACGTCTTTTGTTCAATCCGTGGGCTGAAAAGTTTGACTGCCGCAAGAATATATTGGCACCTCAGGCCTGCAAGAGGAATGGAATCACCAGCATACCAGCGTGGGCGAAATATCCAAACCTCGCCATTACCAACAACTCAAAGTGACAAACGCTAAGGTGTCTCTGCTGGTCAACTGACAGTCACTAACCCCGACTAACCCCAATAAACTACGTACAGTAAGTCTCAGCGCATTGAAACCACACAGATTCCTATATGATGCAACATAGATAACTAATATTATGATATATTATGTGTCCATCAGATGAGGTACACAGTAGACTCCCAACAAATATATTACGGTTTACAGGATTCGACGATTCGATATCATGTTGTGAATCTGTAAGCCCACCGGTTACCAACTTTATTGGCACAGGATACTACACCCAAAACGCAAATCAAACTCTGCGGCTTTAGGGCCGCTGTCGCTAGCCTCTTGACTTGGACCGCTACGTAGGTGTGGGACAATGAGTTTTCAGCCATCCGCTTTCACATCCTTTTCACACAAGTGTCATCACAGTTGGCATAAACATCCCGCCAAACATGCACGTGAAAAATCAAACGAATGAATTGAATACCCGTCAAGTTGAGCTTTGATGCAAAGCGGGATGTTAATGCTTGAACAACCACATCATATGTAGGCTTTCTGGGCCCCCGTCTTGAGGATGTCGGAAACATCGGAATGTGATACTGCAACAGAACTGCAGGCGCTTCGTCAAGCAGCTGAACCAATAGTGGCAAGCTCCCAACTTCCTGGGCTTTCGAGGATAGAGAAAAAGGTATCCAAGTCCAGGGAGGTGTTCGGAAACCCCAAACTTTGGTAGACACGCTGTGAATCCCTTGATATACCTTTTGCAATCTGTATTGGCGGCGTTAACATATAGCTTATATCATTGATATCTGCGAAACTATGCGAAACTCTATAGGCAGTTACTGGAAAAAAAATTTTTGATCTGATGGATTCTGATGGCAAACATAGTACCCCCGTATCACAAAACAAACTCATGTGAAAAACCGATGATGACCTGCTGACATCTAGTTTGGCAGTTTGGTCCAATGTTGCCTAGTTGGGCACCAGGTCCTCAGGTTGGGCACCAGGTACTGCCTTGGCCAGACCTCCACGGCGGTCACCGGGTTCCGAACTGATGAGTCTTGGTCTCGTCTTCTTCCGGGCCACCGGCACCAAGCCCGTGCCCGGCACCAAAAGCGTTCCAAAGAGAACCCGGTAACCGCCGTAACCCGTAACCCTTGTTTGGGTTACATGGCTACGAATCAATGCCTGTATGGAAAACAACTAATTGGTCGTTAAAGTCACATTGGCTACCTCCTTCAGCATGTTAAACATGTTTCACCTGCCGCCGCCACCAGAACCGCAAAGACACCTCTTCCATCCTCTTCCCATCTATCTGCACATCCAGGCATCCAGCAGCACGCACGTCCACACCATCCACGACTTCGCTGGCATGCGCTCCGCGATGATTTCCTTGGCGGCTGCCAGCTGTGCCGCCACCCGGAAGGACATGGCGCTCGCGATCGAAGATGGAGCGATCAGCGATCGGCCGCTGCGGAAGAACGGCCGCTGTTCTGATCGAACGCAGGGTGAAAAAGGACTGTTGTGAGGAATGAGTAGCTGCGTAGCTTTATTGATGCGAAGATGCGGACAATTGTGGGTGTTGAGTCTTGTGATTAATTATGCGTATTGCTGCGTTTGATTTTCCTCCAGTGTAGTGTTACAGCCTACAGCTGTGATTGTCACATATCACAGTGAGCTGTGATAAGTGCTGCTCTCTGTGAGCTGGCCACGACTGCGGGGATGGGACAGTCGTCGCTTCCAGTGTCGCAGAACGCACAAAACAGAAGTATGGAGGTTGGCGGGCTTGTTCTTCAATGGATACTCTTTGAGTATATCCGATTCCCAGCAGCAGTAGATCATGACTAGAGTACAGGCCTTTCTCCCAAATAGATCAAAATAAATAGTACGTATAATAATTCGATCTTTCTATTGTTACAGGTTTCCTGGGACATCCCCACTCTCAGCAAAGCCTGGAGGAAGGAAACTGAAGTAGCAAGTCCCAGCCCAAAGGGCTTCCTTCGTGGCCTCGTCTGGTTTCACGTGTCTCATCTTCTTCATCTCCTCCAAAAGCGAGAAGGCACGATCCTCAGCCAACGGATCGATCACACGACCGTTCGAAACGCCCACCTTTCCGCCAACAGACCGGTCCTGTTTTGTGGAAAAAAGAGTGGAAATCAATGAAACAACCTTTCAAAACCCCAACAGGTTACAGTAACAAACGCTTTCCTGGGCATTTGGTGGACCTTCCTAATTTGGGTGTGTAGCGCCCAAACAAACCAGTATTCTCGTCTTTTGTGGAATCAACATGAATTGACAGTGGAGATCGAGCTCCTCCGAGCTAAGCAGTCAAACCAGGATAAGTCCAGGCAAATCGAGGGCGAAGCAATTCATAATACTTCAGACTTCAGACCACCCCACCTCTGAAACACTCCCCAAATCTCGACTCAGGGTCGCACTGAGCTTTAGAGCTTCGTCAGGTTTTCCGTCCTGACCGCGTCAGGAAGGACCGACCTGACCGCGTCACCCACCGACCGCTCCGTCGCTCCGACCGCCGTTGGCTGGGCTCCCCAAGCCACATCTCCAGCGATGCAGCAGCCCTGACGGCCGACCGGTCCCAACGCAACGGGTCCGAAGAGCGGTCCGAATGGGTCGGTGCGCACGGAACGGGCGTGCGATTGGGGGGTTGGGCATTGGCATGCCCCAACATGTGGGAAAAAAAGGGGGTTATAGACACGTTAATATGTGCATCCCACTGAATCTTCATTGTTAAGTATTTTTTTGCCTAAGGACCCTTTCCCAACGCTCTATGTTATTTTTTCCACTATTAATTGGTCTATTTGCATCTATTTGCGGTCTATTTTGTTTTCCAGTCCACCGAAGATGAACAAACACTACATCGTCGAAAGTCGGACACTCTCCGACGCGAAAGGTCTGTTGGACAGGCCGGTCTTCGGTGTGGAAGCAGTAATTCGTCAAGGTGAAATCGGGCATGAAATTCCAAGGGCTTAGGGCTTTGCTATGTCAATCCTACTGTGCCATATATACCATCGACTTGTTTTGACATCTGCTTCCTGTTCATCACGCTGGCGCGCACACGCCGAAGCGGCAGTGCACCTTCACCAATGTGGAGTAGGTGATGATGTCAGGCTGCACTGGAGGATTACTGTCACGCATGTCCTGATGGATGGATGATCGTGTGTGGCTGTCAGATACAGTTGTATGTTGAGCTGATGCAGGTCCCTCAAACGGAAAACTAAGAAACGTCATTGGGCTATATTGTGCTAAAAAAATCTATAAGGTCAAATCCTCCAGAACCCACAAATGAGAACTTTACTTCGGAAAATAGAAAATAGCCCGACCCGCAAAACCAGAAGTAACCCGATGCTCCAGAATCCTAACGAACCATTGGCCAAAGAAGTGCCACATATAGTGCCTAGGTTACCACCCAAACAAGGGTTGCTTGGCAAAATGTGCACAATAACTTGAGGTATCAGAAATGATCAGAAATTCCAAACGAAACACAAACTGCAAGGAGCCATCTGTTTACTGTCTTGCTCAGAAACCCGAAACATTTTCATTGTGCCTCGAAGAAGTCTAATATACCCGAAACTCGTTGGAAGCATACGGAAGGATCATCTTGCTGAAATCGTAAATGTTACATATATGTCCGGTTGTAAGATGTTGTAAGTCAACAAAAACTCTACTTCAACATTAACATAGGATCAGCTCTATCTTTTGGGTTTGAAGGATCAGCTCGCAATTCTCAGCACTCCTGGAGTGACGCCTACGTTTCTTTCAACACCTCTGGGTCCCCCAGGGGCCCCAGCGGCGAGCAACTGTGGAACATCGTGCATTCGCCCACAACCTCATCGAACGGGCGCAACAAGGATCCCTGTGCGATTACCGCAAGGAAATGAACATCACAAAATCCTAGCTTTCACATGCTTTAACCCAGGACCCTCCAAGGGGTGCTCAATGGAAGCCTATAGGTAGTGTGGGGTAGTCCATTGGACACCCCTTGAAGGGTCCAGGACCAGAGTCCTAGAAAGCTCTTCATAGGGAAACGAAGGAACCTCACGAAAGGAACCACGAAGGAAAGGAACCAACATGTGTTCGAAAAACTTACACCATTCCTGACCATTCGACCAGGATGAACACCAAGTGCTCAATCAAGCAGGTACTTTTGCTCCAGGCCTACACTGGAAAGAACATGAACTCAATACATCTCAAGAAAAGGTCTTCTTCGAAGTCATCATGGTTTATTCCAAAACTTCTCAAACAATCACTCAAAAAAGAATAATTAGTTTTTCTCTCCTTCTCAAAGAAGTCCCAAAATAACCAAGATGTTGGGCCGTGGAGCCCAAGGTCCAAACATGTTGGAAGAAGCCAACAAGGTCTCCTTCCATCATTGCCCTTCAGCGGCCCTCAAGGCAGACTGGCGACCCGTGAGCATTAGGACTGCCGCTACGAACGGGGCGACCCTGGCCTTACTACGAACGGAACAAGAAGCTACGAACGGAGCATTTCGGGCATCGCTACTAGTAACAAGGACGCTACGTTCGGGGCTCCTGGTGACGAAGTGGAGCCGACTGGATGACGAGTCGGATGCGTCGACTGCGTCGGACTTCTGGGCAACCGAACGGGCCAGGGCATTCAACATGGTGTTGTAAGTGATGGTGTTGCATGGAATGCCCCTATCCTGGCACAAGAAGGACCCAAGGAAAGAATGGCATTCCTTGATGGCATGCCTTTAGTACCTTTTTGGGACTTGTACCAAACATGCAAGGACTAGATACATATGGTTGTAGGCTTTTGTACTGCGGGCATCTAGGTCTGGAACAAAGTTGACACCTGGCCAAACAAATTGACTCCTAGAAGACTTGGATGTCCCTTTTCAAACTTTGGTGCTGCTTTCCAGTCTTGAACATATAAACAAAAATCCATCACCATTTCCGGTCTTGTCCGAAGGTTTTCAACACGTGAGAATGCCACTGCTCTCCGTGAAGGAGATTGCCGATGAATCTAGGTGCTTAAAATAGAAATGTCTGCATGATCAGTTGCTTGAAGTGGTTTGCACCCCGGGTGTTTTGAGCATCCACTTGGGAACTAGTATATGAACTGATCAGGAAAGTAATTATACGATATGCAAAGTAAAGTACCAAGTAATCACATATATAGCTCAATGCAATATGCATCAGGGTCCCGCATCCTGTATGCTATTGGGTCGAGAGGGACAGAGGACAGAGCTGTCAGTCTGTTTTGTACAATTTCCCGTCCTTCATCTCCTTGTAGATTGCGACTACCTGGATGAACACATACAAAACACAGCACGTTGTGCGGATGACGCAACAAAAGAGAACGTCACAGGAATTGCATCTGCGTCACAGGTGGTGACAAAAGCTGGTATAAGTGTATACCACAACACATCGCGAAACCATCAGAATAACAAGAAAAGACCTTCATTTGACATAACGAATCCATAAGAATCCGGCATGCACCTTGCCTAAAACTGAAAATGGTCACTTGGTGGCAGCATTCACACAAGCGGCCATTCACATCCGCCAAAGGGACAAGAAATTCTCAATCTGAATGCAGCTGAGCAAAAATGACACAAACCCATAAACCCCCTTTAGCAACGCCCCACCCGATGCCCGCGATGCCCGCGAAACGGCATGTCTCCACCAACCGCCCCGAAGCCCGAATCGGTCGACGGCGCATCCGGGTTTCACCCACCGACCTGAAGCGACTTCCGTTTCTTTAGACCAATTCATCTCAACTCATAGTGGAATGCTCTGGAAAACGGCACATCTCATAGTAATTGGTTGATTCTTCCGGAATTCATCATAGAATTCATCTATGGCTATGGATTCTTCTCATAGACTTATTCAGGTTGATTCATGTTGATTCTGTTTCATGGATTCTTCCGGGCAAGAAACACAAAGCACGACGCGCGTGGCCTGGTCATGTTGCCGAGACATGGTGAAGCCTTTGACAATGGTGGAGTAGATCACAGTGTTCACCAAGTCCTCAAGCAAACCACCAACGGATGCTGAGACCATCTGGGAACTGAAGTGTGTTCAACTGAGATTCAACTATTGAACTGGTTTCTGCAGTGGCTTCCACTCCATATTTGCAAACATGGTCACATATTGCAGCTCCAGTCTTTGACCCACAGCCAGAGGGGAAACCCACGGAGAAACTCTGGGGACGCTTCTGGGAACGCATCGAGCCCGTTTGACACCTATACCAAACTGGAGGTCCAGTTTGATCAGTGGTATGTCAGACCCTAGTTTCTAAGGGAAAACACTGTTGACTATTCTCCGGCTATCATGGACATGTTGTAACATCCATGAAGGACTGGTTTCCGCATATGAAACCTAGTGTTTGATGCTGCACAAAGTGTCAGTCTGTGATTGCAGCAAAATAGAAACTCCCTCATGGGGCTCCAGGCTTGATTCTCCTCTTTGGCCCAGGTCTCATTGACCTCACATCACACCCGCGCGCTTTTCGCGTGTGTCAGTGCGCTGTCGGACATCCCCCCCGGCGGATTTGGTCGAACGGCCACAATAGCGAGCAGCACAAGTCTCAACATGTGTCACGTGACTTAGAAGTGGACACATGAAATTATAGTTTGACGTACAGTGACTTATTCTTGAGTCTCAACATGACAAACACACATGACTTAGAAGTCAAACATTTGCAAGGACAAAGAAGCCCTTCACGGATCCAATGACTATATCGAAGCCCAGCAGTTCGACCCGAAAACAGATCAACCCTATTCTCCCCAGAAAAACCGTCGAAGAATGCATCACTAGGCATTGATTAGAAGCAGGCTCGAACATGTGAAAGACAGGAAACTTTCTCAATAAAAGAGTTACAGGTAAAGTTGAGCAGCTGACAGGCCACTAGAATCAACACGACAAGAGTGAAATGAGAGAGATCCTTGGGAAGTACTTGTAGAAATGGTGACTTGGTCAAGCATGTACGTGGCTGCAAAACTAGTGTTTCTTGGCAGGCAAGGCCGGGTCAACCGATATAAAATACATACTGTACTGTTATGTACTGTTAAAAGCTCCCTGGTTCTAAAATATGTCAAATGATGTAAAATGTACTGTCTAAATGTCTAATGTCCTTTGATCCCCTTAATTAATTGGTGCTTCTGCATGGCCTTGTGCATGATTCTCAATGCTTGACGTGTCTGTGGCCAAGGACAAATGAAATACCTCCAAGTGACCTTGAAAACTGGGTCCTGAGACCGTCTCCTTGGTGTTGTTTTCTTTTGCGAGGCACACGGCACACGGCAGATCCTTTAATGCCTTGGGTTTGGACATGTTGTGAACTGTTCGTTTAATTTTGTGTTGTGTTGGACGCCTACGCGAACACCTTCGTTGGACCAACCATGCTACTTTGGGCGCTGGACGCGACTCGCCGGCGCTTTGCCGCGCACGCTGCGACCACGCGGTGCACTGGGCACCACAACGATCTTCCAAGCATCGGAGACATGGTTGTTGCTCACCAAGGCCTCGCAGTTCGGTTTCAAGGCGTGGACCCCGGTTTCATCTCAACGGAGCGGACCACGCCCAAACAAATATGAGCACCGTGTGGTTGGAGGTTTTGACCTCCCATAAGCCATTGACTAAACCTCTCAGATATGTGGTCTCTACAAAACCAACTGTTCACGTGTCATTTTGGTGCGGACATGTTTGCATGTCCCATACCCACTCAAACAAAAGGTTGCTCTCAAAGTCTCAGTTGGCTCAAAAGATTGTAACCTGAACCTCTCCTTTACCCCAGGCAGAGTCCAAACCAGGTTCACTGTCCCTAATGTCTGGCTCCATTTCTCTCAGATCCAACGTATGACGGGCACACACATCGGGTCACCCGATCGATCTCCGGCCTCCACCATGCAGCCCAAGGTGACCGCCGTCAACTTGACCTTCTGAGTGCCCATCTGTGTCCACAACTCCTTCACCTGAAGGACGCAGCAGAGTGTCCAAAAGCGAACGTGCGAACAGCATGGGTTGGGTGTGGAAGCACGGAGTGACTGAGAAATATCATGAAATATCTATCATGTCCTTAAAGGAAATGGTTTGGTCGATGTGAATGCCTTGCAAGTGTTCAAGATTGAACGTTTAAATGTTGCTTTTTTCTCTGTGACCGGTCTTTTTGGGGGGACTGAACATGATGTTTTGATCTTACACCTTTGATCTACAAATCTCACTAATCACCACTGTAACCAGCACACAACCAATGGTTCTGAACATCAAAAGCCTAGACTTGGAAAATTTACCTTCCCACAAGTGTGGCCAAGGGGATCAATGTGGATGCTCGATGTACCAGGAAGAATTGTTTCCTTTCGCGAATAGTATCGAATAGTCAGTGATGGGTAAGAATTGGACACACACAAACATCTCCTGCACACCCTCCAACCAACTTTGGATCCAACAACAACTCCACAACCACCAAAGGTCCCGACCAAGTGAACCTCACCTCCACCGCCCCGCTTCGTCTACACGGAAACCGCGCCTTCCGGACCTCTTGTGCTTGGCCAAAGGCTTTCATCATGCTCCCGTAGGTCGGGCCGCTGATCTGACCGTCCAAAACACCGGTCAGGCCGGTGTCCAAGGATGGCTGGACCAATCACGGTCAACCTGCTTAAGGTTCTACACCGGATTTGGGCACTATACCGATACCCCGGCCCCTGTTTGGGGGGGCTACCTGGCCCAGCTGAACGTCAAGAGCACTCTGCTCTTCTATGTTTATATAGGAACTGCTTCAATAATTGGGATATCAAAAGCACCATGTTCAGTTGTATCATTGGAGAATATCATGTACATGGTGTTCCCAATCTGAAAGATTGGGAACAAGTCTCTCCCATGTCATTTCGGGCTTCAATGAAGCAACCTGCCAACTATATAAGTCTTCAAAGTCAGAGTGATCTGCATAAGGTGTGTGGTCCATCAACGTCTGCTGGCCCGATCCGAGGGAGTTTGGTTCACAAAACCGAGTGCGGACCCGATCCATCTGTCAGAAAACACCACAAGAAACAATACACACAGAAACACATTCCACTTGACCTCGGTCTGTGAAAAGAACGCAAAAAGAAATTCCTCCCAGCACCCATGTTGGGTGGTCATCATTGGAAGGAACATAACATGGACAGGCGGGGTGCCGCATACACCACCCTGTCTCTCCGTGGTGCTGGTTGATCACTCGCAGCTTGGTCAGAGCAAAAGAATGCATGCTGCTTGCCGCCCCTTGCCGGTCGGCCTGCAAGGGCGTCTCTTTCTTCACAAGTTCCTGGCAGCTTGGCAGGACTGCTCAGTTCCCTACCTCTAGAGATCACCTCCATGGTCAAACAAGTCACTCCAAAAGCTTTCATATCAGGCTTGGTTCATCAAACCAACAAAAACATCGATTCCTGTTGTCGTCCGACGAACGCGCCGTCTTCCTCCACGAACGTGTGCCACGTCGGACCGACGAACGTGACCGCCTGGAAGACCGACCACAGCAGCTCCAGCTGGTTCGCGCGCGCGCACGCATCCGCGAAGCCGCCGAAGAGGGCCTCCGTGGAGTGGGGATGAACGCACCGCTGAAGAGGAGGTTGGACATGAGCTCCGAAAAAGGCAGCGGGATCCAACGATCGGGGCATCCAACATATCCACATAAGGGACACTTCGAGTCGAAGTAGCGCAACAAAACCCTGAGGATGCCTGGGTTGACCTGGGCAGTGCTCCTGAAAAAGCAAAGGGACCGAATGAACTTTGGATATATCTTGGTAGAAATCAGCTTATATTGTTTCCAGGGTCCAAACACAAGGAAGGCCGGTGGTGCTTATGTAAGTGAATGCGATATAAAACAATGTTGCTGCATGGGTTAGAGTCTGAAATGTCTGAGAGAGCATGTGGCAGAAACCGCCGAACGGCCAACGATTCGCGGACGTACCCGGCCCCGTAGCCACCTGCCTCATCCATATGGACCTGAGACTCCTGCCGGTGGGTCAGACGAGACGAGAGTAGAACACACCTTCCCAGAAATCGTCCCATCCACCGCCCTGAGACAGGGCAGGGTGGCACAACATCTGTCCACGAGGGTGTGAAGATTGGAGGGTCAAACAGTCAGACTCTGTCAAACCTCTTTTCAAAACTCTTGGCTGAGTGAAACACTCAGCTCCTAAGCGGAAAACACAAAATCTACCGGGGGGCTTGACTACTGGGCAGCCCAGAGTCCTGACTAATGAGCTCACTTGGGGAGTCCTGATTGGCGTGCTTCTTGGAAGAGATTGCAATGTGAAGGAGATTGTCATGTCAAAACCGACCCCGGACGTGACCACTTGACCACCAAACATGAACAAGGCCGTCCTCAAGAGACACATCCAATGGTTTTAAGGGGCGAGCTTTTGATCCACAGCTATCTGGCTGAGAGCCCCAAGGCGTGGACGCCATGTCCGAGACCAGCTGAAAGGGTCGGGACCCAGTCGATTTCCAATGTTGGAAACATCTCTCAGGACGCGCACTCTATATATAAGCATGCTGATGAACAAACCCTATGGATCCACATATCCTCTGAGAAGGTGATTGGAGACACATTTAATAACTTTTATGTGGGTAAGTTTGGAGGGTCCAAGTACCTTCTGAGAAGGTATGTGTATGTGGATCCCTCGGAAAAAAATCCTCAATCAGCACCATGTGCGCCCAAACTGCCCGTCGTTCAACATCTTGGACTTAGATCTTGGGATACATCAAGATTTGAGATTTATCTATGAGTTCTAGTCGATCCTAGCCACCAGAGCACAACCTTAAAGACCTTCCTTTGGATTCCCATGTACGCACTGCCCTCCATGAGCATCATCCCATGTCCATCGTCCTGCATGAGCGCGAGGACCTTTGGGAGATCTTGCCCATGTGCTCGCCCCACAATGCTCTTCCTAGGTGCAACTAGGAGTTCCCCACGCAGAGACGATAGAATCGGTGGATTCCTCTCTCTCTGCAGGTTGATCTCGGGAAACAGCCAGGGAACCCTAAAGAGATTCTAAAGCTGTTCCAGACGCATGTTCCTTGTAACCCACCAAAAACCATCAAAAAACCATTCCAATAGCCTGGAGTCATCGAATATATCGGGATGTTATCCCATGGCTCGGAGTCATGGCCTGCTTGCACTCACATGCCCAAGAAATCGGCTCAGGTCGTTCTGGAACACTGGATGGCTTAGGTTAGGCCCGGCCATTTCATCAAAAAGTGTCTCTAAAGATGGTGAGAGGCACCTGAGATGGTGGGAGGCACCTGAGAGTCAGAGACCCCTCAAGACATGTCATGCCGGTATAGGCGAACGGACTGTCCGGAGCATCAAACCATCAAATCTCTCCGCAAATCCAGCAGCTGTCGCCGGGTGGGTGCCTTTAGCTGGTGCTCATGTTGGAGCCAATGAGGGGAATCGCAGGTGACTCCAGTGAAACCTCGCTATAGCTTCCTTTCAGTGGCCCGTTGATGACCCTGTCACCCATGCGTTTTGGTCCGCAGGGACGGTCTCATCCGGAGCAAGAGCATGGTGTTCGCCCAGGAGCAAGAGGATGCTGCAAGTGATGGTGCTGGCACCAATGCCTTTGCCTTAGAACACCGACACCGGCCAGGCCAGAACACCACGCCTCAACGATGACTCGCCTTCAGACCAGGGAGAAGGAAAAAACAAAAAACAAAAACAACAACAACAACAACAACAACAACAACAACAACAACAACAACAA